CTTCTTCCATGGCCGTGGTTGCCCGTCCACAGCCATTGACAGGGCCCTCAAACACATCCAAACTATCACCCATGCTTCCGCCCTTCTCCCTTCCCATCACTCACAACAGCGTGATCGGGTTTCCTTGTCATCACTTTTCATCCCACCAGCCCCTGCATTCAAAGATCATTCTCCGCCATTTCTGACAACTCCAGCAGAACACCACCACCAAACACATCTTCCCATCACTCCCACTGTCTGCATTTTGCAGGCATCATTCCTTCTGGGACACCCTAGTCCATTCATCAACCACAAACACCACTCCGCCTCCCCACAGCACTTTCCCATGTAACCGCAGAAGGTGCAACACCTGCCCCTTCATCCCCTCCCTGCTCACCATTCAAGGGCCTAAACAGTCTTTCCAGGTGAAGCAGCATTTCACCTGTAGCTTCTCCAATCTTGTGTATTGTATTCGCTGGACCCAATGTGGCCTTCAGTGGTAAATTCTTGTCTCAGGCTGCAGTGAATGACCCTATATTTACGGTCAACAGAACTGATAACACAGCTGAGAGGGGTGGTGTGGACAGGGAATGCATTTTATAAAATGCAATCCATAATTTTCCCATTAATTTGAATGTACTGGGAATCACAAATTGTGCATTTTTGCGAATGGAGTTTTAAATCTAGGATCACCCATTATACACACAATTTTCCTCCTGGTTAGTGTCTGTGTCATCGAACATTTGGCTCTGTCACTGTGTTTCTATATTACACTCTGATATTTGCTCTAGTGATAAGCTGGCAAGTTATTGCAGGTACAAAAGGGCAATGTTAGAAAGTGCACAACCAATTTGCTATTATGCAGAATGCAATCATGGAGCACTGCAGTTTATAAGCCAGAATTTCAGTTTACATTACATCCAGATATGATTCCACAATTTTGAAATAGAAATCAATCAAACATCAGAAAAAGTATCTGCACTGTAATTTTCTATTCCTCCCATTTTGATATCTGTAATCTTGTCAAAGGATCTTTAGCCATTTTCTCATTGTGCAAGCTAATGCAACTCTGGTTTATGTTTTTGTCTCACCTATTGTGCTTTGTTGCTTTCGTACTGTTTATCGTTCATTTGTGACCGTTTCTTTCCATCCACTTTGCTTTGTACAGGTGATCTCTGACATGCAAGCGCAACGTTAAAATTTGAGTACAAGGTTGTCCTGTGGGATTATGGCTATCCTGATCACTGCGCATCACATATGCTGTTGTATATGCCCAAGGCCACCAAATTGCCCTGGAAGGCTAAGACACCCCTAATTAATATGAACAAATGGGTGATGCCAGCAGTTTTATACTGCTCCAGATAACTAGTATTTTGCACTAAGAGGATACAGTCTTCATGCCAAAAAGATATTCTGCCATCAGGTAAATGATTAATATGGGATAGAAATTTTAGTGTCAGTGCTTCATACATTGTATGTCCCAATGACTGGAGCACGTCCCTTCATGTGTTCACAACAGACAGTTTTCAACACACAACCAGTCCTCGCTTGCAAAACTCAGAACCTATAATGTTGTGGCTCTATGACTGCATTTACTGAACAATCCTGGGTCAGCTAAGAATTACACTAACAACCAATCAGTAAGGCTCAAAGTGGCTTAATTATGCTTGCTACAAGCTGCATTTAATCGATACACAAGGACCTGTCCCTTTTACCCTGTGAAGGGCAAGTCCAGGCATTATGATTTTCTTAAACAAAACAGTGGGGGAAACTGAGGTTTATTCTCCATGGTAATGCCTCAACCAATCAGCACCCTTTATGTGCAGGTTGTTCCTTTTGAAATTTGGTATTCTTGGGACTGTCCCGATGCATGCAAAACCAAAAAGCACAAAACAGCATCAATCATTTGTCAACAACACACAAAATTCCAAATTCCTTTAGTTTGTAATTATTCTCCTAGACTATTCTAGCTCAGCCTACTAAACTGTTGAGTTTAATCTATTATCGCAAAATTAATGATTCATAACTAAATCCTCCACCTTCCTTTCCCCAAAAATCTGGCCTTCTCAACCAGTCTTCTAGCAAGTATAGAACTTTACACTGAACCTCAATACTTTGAGTAAAATGAAGTAACAGTTCATAGCGGATCTCAATGCTTCAATGGAACCCCATCTGTGATTTCTGTATCTCAACAAAATTCTGCTCAAGAATGGATTGCATTTATATAGCATCTTTCATGACCATTTGATGGTTAAAAGTGCATTGCAGCCAATCAAGGACTTCAAGGTCGTACATGAAAAGTGACAGTCACTTCATATGCAATAAACTCCAAATAGCATTGTGATAATGACCAGGCAATCTGTTTTTATTTTGTAATTGACTGGGAATTTAATAAGTTACTATTGTCATAAATTATTTGTTGGGGACATCGACAGGATTGTTACAGCCTACCCACCATTGTACCCGAACAACACTGACATAAAAACTGTTTCTGATGTAATGAAAGAATAAAATAATTCTACCACGATATATTGTAGCACCTTCAGCCAATCATAAGTGAGACAATGCTTTCAGCTTTTAATAAACCACTATCATTCTCTTCATAATAACCATCTGTTCTCCCCGTTCATTTATACTTTTTTTTTAAAAATAGTAAAATGTATCTAGGTATATTCACTTTCTCAACTGGTATCCAAGTAAATTCTAAAAAGGTAGGTCCTGGTTTATTAAAACATAACCACAATATAGATTTCAATCAAGTGTTTATTAATATATAGTAGAATATAGCAAGAAATGTGTGACAAAGAAAGCTTGTCAGAACTAGAAAGTGCAATCCCATTTAAAAAAAAAATCATAGCTTTATAAAATCTAACTCATTAGCAACCCAAAAATCAATACTAAACAACAAGTTTAAGTTACAACTGAATAGATGCCTTAAAGTGTTTATTTTTAATTCCCCATTATCCCCAGTGGGGATGGGGTCATTAGTGCCATTTTGACAAGTGTCACATGAGCAAAGGCGAGCAGTACAATTTAGGGGCATCACATTTGGTCTAATCCCCATCAAACATTCACAACAAATTTAATAGAGGTGAGGGGCGCCATGAATCCTGGCCCATCTTTCCATCCCTCTGGGGCAGGATTGTTTTGGTTGGGGGGGGGTGGTGTGCAAAAAGGACGTGACTAAAGCCAGCTAGAAAGCACCACAAATGAAGGAGATCATCTGCGATGGTCTGAACAGTGCATGCTGCAAAACCACTCAACTTGCAACAGTTACAGAACTTCACAGATCATCTCTCCATTTGTCATGACCTTTACATTCTGATAAGTAGGAGACAAACCTATGGCTTTTTGGACTGGGAAACCACTGTAGAAACTTTCAACATTTTGACTAGCTACTCTCCTGCAGTCGTCATTCAGACTAGAAGTGTGAAGGCTTAATGTGTACTGCAAACATTTATTAATTCATAAAACAAATTAAACAAAATGTAAATTTAAGAAATATTTCACTTCAATGCAACATATACACAGAACAGCACAGTAAGGGGGCTGGGTGTATTACATCATTTTAAAACAACACTTATGATTGAGAAGAATTAACTTGCTATAACCACGGATTGTAAAGCACAATGTCGAGGATTGTTCTGATTTTGTCACATTATGCAGTCAACTTTAAGTTAAAATTCATACTCCTATCAGATCAGAACATTGCACTTTGCACCTAATAAACCAGAAAGTTCAAAATTCTACAGCCCCCAAATTAATGCTTTGCTATCTGATAGTTTCCAAGATAAAATGACAACATTTCAATCGCAAAAGAGAGATTAAACACCATTTATGCTATTTAATACTGCATGCCTTTAACCAATCTCTAAGAGTGAAGCCACCCAGCCCTGGGTCTCATCCTTGTTCTATAACACAGTAGCCATAACCATCAGCACTAACTTAAACCAGCAACATACTCCTTCTTTCATGCACAGATATTCTTTACTTCATCTACTTTTTTTTTTTGCTGCTGCTGGAGCTCTTGTGGAGCAGTGGCAGTGCCCTTAGCTGAGCCAGGAGGCTGTAGATCAAGTACCACCTGCTGCAGAGGTATGCTATAACACCTATGAACAGAGCAGAAAATATCTTTTGCTGCAGGGCATGGTCAGTGAGCTGTCTACCTCCCCACTAAAGTAGTGAGCACATACCAGAGGGTCAAAAACCAGATCAACAGCATACTAGTACTAATTACACATTTGCAAAGTAAAACCCCTTTAAATGAGCCAGAAGGCAAAATGGAGGGATACCTAACAGTCCAATTAATTCACACAAGAGGTGTTTGATATTATTTTAAATCATTGCAGGGCCCTTTGTTGATCAGATGCTGTATAACTGCCAAATTGTCATTGTTCTAATTGCTCTTGGAAACTTGTCCCAAAACAGGTTTACCCACTTAAAAAGAAAAAGCTTAGACACTAGCTAGTCAGGCACACACACAGACACTGAGTTAAACCTGGCTTGGAAAATTTTTGTTTTGTCTTCCATTTCCCCTTCATTTTCAGCAATGATTTACATTTTATACTTCCATTATAATCAACACAATTACAGAGACTAAACTTGAACAGAATGAGTGCAACGAAGAAAAGAACAAGGTTTGGAAAGAGAATGCTGTGTTAATCAATGCTTTCAAAGGTGCACTCCTGCCTTCAGCACTCTGTAAGCCATTGAAAAGGTCACTCCCATCCCAACTATCCAGCTCAAGCCACGTGATGGCTGGGGAAGAGGAACCAGATAAGCAATGCTGTGGAAGATTCTGGAAGCAACAAAGATTCTGAAGTGCATTAGAGCTGTATTCAGGTCAGGGCCAGAGAGGGCGTACAACAGACCAATGCCGACAAATGGAACAATGTTCTCCAGGTCGTTCTGATGACATCTACAGGGAGCAAAAACAGGCAGCAAACAGTAAGAGTTGATTTGAGCAAACACAAGTTAACAATCCCATCCTTACATTGAGGGAATATGGAATGAATTACTAAAGTGTAATTTAGTGCAAGAATAGATAATGAATGTGCTCAGAATTAATAAAAGTCTCCTATATATAATTATCAACCAGAATTCAGTCATATGAAACACACAATGTCTGTGCAGATTGTAAGAAATGTCAACCCTTCAATTTTTTTTAAATTTAATGTGAGCTGCAGATTTCATTTAAGTTTACCAAGCACTTTTAGATTAATCGTGTATTAAATAGAATGCTAAACAGTTATTAAATTGTGTAAAATTGATATCCACAAATGTAGATCAACTGTCAGTGAAAGCAGTGTTGTGGACACAAGTTTTTAAACCTATGCCAGAACAATCCCCACCTTCTCACACGTTCCACATAGGGATCAGTCCTCAAATACACTTTCTTGGATTCTTCATCCTTGGCGCCATGTGCCTTGGCATCTTCAGGATTGGCAAAGACCTGTTTAGAAAATTGGTTGTAAATTTTTCTGTTAATGGACCACACCCCATCACGTATCCATAACTACATAAGTAGACTGGTTTCAGACTATAAACTATTTCTTCTGACATGCATATCTATATTCCGGTATCTCTTGGAAGCTATCACATTTTCAGTTCATAGATCCAGTGCTTAGGTTCCGAGTAGATGGCTATCAAAATCACAACCTTAAAAATTAGCACAGATCACACTAGCACCTTGACAGCTCAAATACCATTCACTAAGTAAATCACAATTCAAAACAAGCTTATTGGTGAACTTAATAAATTAAACAGCCTAGCCCAAAGAAGTGGAGCTGGGTATTTAAGGACAGTTACAATGGAGGTATGAACTCTCCTGAGCATCTGCAACATGTCTCTAGCCGATGTCGGGGTGTCCATATAATGCATTTCCCCATAAGAATTGGATAACAATTGCTATAAAAAGTGACACACCAGGTTAAAAGCTGCTCTACTTTACCAAGAAAGTCCCTTCAGCTCTACTGGATTTACAAAGACACCTTACCCCTATAGGTAAAAACAAGAACGCAGATTACTACCTGAATAGCTGTAAATTGAGGAAGGGGAGTGTGCAGTGGGACCTGGGTGTCCTTGTGCACCAGCTGCTGAAGGTAAGCATGTAGGTGCAGCAGGCGGTAAAGAAGGCAAATGGTATGTTGGCCATCATTGCCAGAGGTTTTGAGTACGGGGCAGGGAAGTGTTGTTGCAGTTATACAGGGCCTTCGTGAGACCACATCTGGAATATTGTGCGCAGTTTTGGGAGAAGTTGCTCTTGCTCTTGAGGGAGTGCAGCGAAGGTTTACCAGGCGGATTCTGGGGATGGCAGGTCTGACATATGACGAGAGAGTGACTAGGTTAGGCTTGTTTTCACAAGAGTTCAGACACATGGCGGGGGGGCGGCACGGAAATCTCAGAGACTTAAAATTCTAACAGGACTGGACAGGGTAGATGCAGGGAGGATGTTCCCAATGGTGGGAATGTCCAGAGCCAGAGGTCACAGTACGAGGATTTGGGATAGACCATTTAAGACGGCGATGAGGAGGCATTTCTTCATCCAAAGAGTGGTGAGCCTGTGGAATTCATTACTACAGGAAGTAGCTGATGCCAAATATTGAGTGTATTCAAGAGGCGACTAGATACAGCGCTTGGGGCGAATGGGATCAAAGGTTATGGGGAGAAAGCAGGATTAGGCTATTGAGTTGAACGATCCACCATGGTGGTGAAAAATGGCAGAGCAGGCTTGAAGGGCCAAATGGCCTCCTCCTGCTCCAATCTATGATATTGTTCTTCATAAAATGTTCTGACCTACTGTGAGCCACAATTCACAAATCCACTGAAAGGGAAAATGTTAACTTGTCTGTTAAATTAGTAGTTACTATAGAAGGTTTAGCTCAAACACTCAATAGAAAGCAAAAATGCTGTTAAAAAGTTAATGCTGTAAGAAACTAGTCATGTACCTTTAGTTTTAAAAAAGAAAGCTTTAATTACACAGAACAATCGAATAAATCATGGTTTTGTGTACACCTACTTTGGAGATATGGAATAAATTCTGATTCTTTCATTTTTCCACTGGTTATGTTGGCCATCCCCCATTGCCTTCCAGAAGGTAAGTGTTAACCACTTTCTGAAGTTGCCATAGTCCATGATATTGAGGTATAGTACTGTTAGAAGGGTGTTCCAGAATGTTCATCTAATAATACTGAAGGAATAGCCCATCAGGTTCTAAGTCAGGATGTTGGATGGCTTGGTGATCACATCTACCTACTGCCCTTATCATTCTCAGTGGCACCATTCACAGGTTTGGAAAGAGTGTTATTGCATTTTTTGAGAGTTGCTGGAGTGCATTTTGTAGGTGGTTAACAGTTCTGCCACTGTACGTCAGTGAAGGGAGTGAATATGTAAGTTCATGAATGGAGTGTCATTCAAGTTGGCTGCTTTGTCCAGGATGGTGTTAAGTTTCTTGAGCGTTATTGGAGCTGCATCCATCCAGACAGTATTCCATCACATTCCTGACTTGTGCCTTGTAGATGGTGGTCGAGCTTTAGGGATACAGATGAGTTACTCGCCACAGAATTCCCAGCTTCTGATCTGATCTTATAGGCACATATTTAAATGGCTGGTTCTATCTCTGGTCATTGGTAACCCCATGATGTTGATAGTGGAAAATTCCGTGATGGTAATACAATTTAATGTCAAAGGAAGATATAGTTAGATTGTTCCTTGTCAAATATGGTCACTATTTGGCACAAATCAGCAATGAAAAATGTAAGTGATACAAATATCAATGATACTAAACATATTACACATAATACCACTTCTTATTTCAGAAGAATAATGAATTTGATCACAAAGATGGCTAGTGTGCAACACTATGGCGGGGGGGTGTGGTGGTGATGTGAAAGAGGATGTGAGGATAGACATTAAGCTTAGAGTTAAGTTGAAGGGGTTTAAAAAAAAATTACTTTGGTTGGAAACACTGATGTAACAAAGAGGGCTTAGAGAGTACTTCTTTGGGAGTGACTATGAGCCACGTGAGCAAAGGTTAGATCATCGAGTCTACCCTGCCATTCAACTCCACCTTCGTGCATTTTCACTATTATCATTATCAATTCCTTTCTAGTCAGTCAATCTCAGCCTTGAATTAACCTAACGATCCAGCCTCTACAGATAAGACTACAAGATGTAGGAGCAGAAGACTGTTCAGGAATGTACAGCCACTGGTAGTTAAGGTCATGAGGTTCATTGAATATGGCATCAAGGAAGAGGATTTAATTTATTTATTGTCATGTGTATCCTGTCACAAAAATACAATGAAAAGTGTTGTATTATGCTAGTGTGGTAAAAAGGATGAGAAAAAGCTTCTTGGGACTGAATTAATGGAGTACTTCAGTTATCATAGGATTGTGGCAATTTAGATGGAATGGTCAGTATCAGAAAAAAAAAGTTTAAAAAAGTTGAATTACACCAGGGATTTTTGAAAGGCTAGAAAGAAATAACAACTGCTTTTTGGGAGCACAGAGGGCTAGCCAGCCCTCTACTTCTGTAGATTGTGGAGCCTGCAAAGGGAAGGCATTGGGGTGATAAGCCAAAGTATTTTTGCATCTGGGAGTGGGGGAGTGCCAGTACGTGGAAATGGCTGAGCATGTTCCCAGAATCAGGGCAGGAGCCAGTTAGAGGGATAGCAAAGCAACAAATTGAATGAGACACCCAGTGTTCAGAGAGATTAGGGTTGGGGCAAACAGATTCAGAAAACAGCGTTAGCTCAAGCAGCGGATACAAAGCAGAGTTGAGAATGAGATCATCGGGGTGGTTGGAATAGGAGAAGCTAACCCACATAAAAGCAGTGAGACTGAATCAGACAAAAACACTGCACTTACAGTCCTGCCAAAGTACAATAGGAGTCCGTTCAGTTATCAGACCCTCTCGGTGCCTCTAAATGCATGTAGATACTGTACTGCATAAGTAAGTTTTGCAACTGCAGGGAAAGATAAGCTCCAATGTCTGTTTTTCATGCGCAAAGAATTTACAGAACTGCTTCTCAGTAACTGTGCATATACATAAAAGATTATCTAATAAGAACATTTTTGCAACTTAAAGAAATCTGCATGCTAATACACACGCACACACATCTTTCAAACCGCAGACTGAATCACCGCTAGGGTCTGAGAAGTATTTTTTTTTCCCCTCAAAATATTGCAAAAACGAGTTCCCGCAGATTTGGGGAAGTGCAAAAGAAACAAGGGTGCGGAGTGAGCTGCCATTTTAACTGATTTACTTTCAGTCTGGCTGTTAGATCTTACCTTCCGAGTGACCCTGAAGTATCCTGTCAGGGGTCCCATCAACAGCATCTTCAGCAACACGATGGTGCTATAGGTAGAGTATGCGAGGAAAACCTCGCTGCTAAACACCTCGGACATTTCCAAACCCCTGGAGTGGGGGAATTAAAGTGTACAATTACACACAGAGTTAGAATCTTTAAATGAAAATCAGACACCGGGGCACGCCTTACACTCTTGACTCAATTAAGTTGTCCCATTCACATTACATGTTGAGATTAACCCACCTCTCAGCAATCTAGATGCTGCGAGAACCGAACTCTCTGCAACTTTACCCGTGGTGTTGGAGGGGAAGGTCCAAACTGATAGCTCGACGGGATACTGGAGGACTAGAATCTCCTGTGCACGCCTCCCAGCAAACGCAGGAAGAGAATTTCTCTCAGCTGCGAGCTGTAAGGAGTGCTGTGACTTTACACTCAGTTCTAGGTTCTTGAAACACGAGGACCTCTGTGTCTGTTTGTCAATTTTCTTTTTAAAGAAGACATCTAACAAGAAGCACACAGCTAGGGAATGTAAAGTGACACTAGAAAAGGGGAATAAACGTGACTTATAAAATTGATGAATTTTGGGTCCTTCCATTCCCCTTTACCAGTTGGAATGGACCCCAGATTTAAAGGGGAAGGGTTGCTGCTGTGTTTCAGATTCATTTTAATCCAACCAGAAGAGAGTTAATTGCCAATAAAATGATAGGACACTACTTGTATATTCTAACAAAATCAAAAAGAAATGGCTATAACATTGCAATGGATACTGAGGCACTCCAGTTCGCCCAGTGGTCATCAGTTGTGAATGGCCTCAACTATACTGGCAGACATCTGTTGCTCCTTCTCCTGGGACACTTGAGAACAGAAGAGAGAGGCAGTTGGAGAACAATCCCTCCAACATCCACTGCCTAAAGCTCATGATAGCCTCATCTGTTTCTGGCTACGCTTCAATCCTGATCTTTGGCTGTATGGAAGTGGGGGGGAGTGGGCAAGATATGATGTCACCAGCGAAATCACCCTGAATTGTGCTTGAGTAGGTGGTGACAGCCTGTCACTGCAGTATAAAGGAGCAGGGGAAATGGTAGATACAAAAACAAAGTTGCTGGAAAAGCTCAGCAGGTCTGGCAGCATCTGTGGAGGAAAGAACAGAGTTAACGTTTCGGGTCCGGTGACCCTTCCTCAGAGTTCATGGTAAATACAATGATATACAATGAAATGATGGTAGATACATTCACCGTGCTGTTAGGGAAGGAGTTCCACAGTTTTGACCCAGTCTCAGTGGAGGAACGATGATATGGTTCCAAACCAGAATGATGTGTGACTTGGTGGTGTTCCCATGTGATAGAGGTAACAGGTTTTGAAGGTGCTGTCTTAGGAGCCTTGGTGTGTTTCTACAGTGGATGGTACAGATTTCTACTCCTGTACACCAGTGCTGGAGGGAGTGAATGTTTGTGGATTTGGTGCCAGTCAGCTTTATCCTGGGAGTGTTGAGCTTCTTGAGTGTTGTTGGAGCTGCACTCATCCAGGCAAGTGGAGATTATTTCATCATACTCCTGACTTGTGCCTTAGAGGTGGTAGAAAAGGTATGGGAAGTCAGAAGCTGTGTTACTTGTGACAGAATGCTGAGTCTCTGCCCTGGTCTTGTGGCTATGGTATTTATACAGCTGTTTCAGTTCAGTTTCTGGTCAATGGTAACTCCTAGAATGTTGATAATTGGTATTTCAGCAACGGTAATTTCATTAGCCGTAAAGCAGTAATGATTAGATTCTCCTTTTTAGTCATTACCAAGTGCTTATGTGAAAACAATGTTCCTTGCTACATCTCAGCCCAAGATTAAACGTTGTCCAGGTCTTGCTGCAAGTAGACACAGATTACAGGAGTATATTGGGAGTCAAGAATGATGATGAATGTTGTGCAATCATCACTGAACATTTTGATGGAGGGAAGGTCATTGATAAATCCGCTCAAGATTATTGGGCCTAGGGTACTACCCTGAGGGGCTCCTGCAGTGACGCCCTAGGATAAGATTGACTTCCAACAACCGCAACCATCTTCCTTTGTGTTTGGTATGGTTCCAACTGGCAGTTTTCCGAGAGGTTCTTGATGGTCCACTCAGTCAAATGCTGCCTTGATCTCAAGGACAGTCACTTTTGTCTCACCTCCTGAGTTCAGGAGTTCATTTTATAGCCAAATTTACTACAAAAACAGAAATTGCTGGAGAAATTCAGCAGGTCTGACAGCATTTGTGGGATGAAGGCAGAGTTAATGTTTCAAATTCAGTGACTCTTCGTGACAGCTGTCAGTAGCTGTGAAAAACTGGTATTCATGTTGTACACTACAAACGCACCAACTCCCACAGTTACCTGGACTGTACATCATCACACCCTGCTTCCTATAAGGACTCCGTCCCATTTTCTCAGTTTCTCTGTCTCCATCGCATCTGATCTGACAATATCACCCTTAACATCAATCGAGGATTCCCCACTATTGTGGTCAACAGGGCCCTTAGCTATGTTTGTCCCATCTCCTGCATTTCTGCCTTCATTTCATCCCATCCCTCTCACAACAGCAACAGGGTCCCCTTTCTCCTCACCATCCCATGGCAAACACATCCAAAGGATCGTTAGCTGGCTTTTCCATCAGCTCGGGAGGATGCCACCACCACACACATATTCGCCTCCCCTACATTGTCAGCTTCACGCAGGGACATTTCCCTCCAAGACACCCTGGTCCACGCCTCTTCCACTCCCAACATCTCCTCACACCCCTATAGCACCTTCCCCTGCAACCACAGAAAGTGTAACACCTGCCTGTTTACCTCCTCCTTCCCCAGTATCCAAAGGCCCAAACACACCTTCCAGGTGAAGCAGCGCTTTACCTGAACTTCCCACAATCTAGTCTACAGCATTCGCTGCTCACAATGTGGTCCCCTCTACACTGGGGAGACAGAACGCAGAGGGAGGGATCACTTTGCAGAAGACTTACATTCTGTCTGCCAAAATGCACTCAAGCTTCGAGTTTCCTGCCACTTTAACACACCAGCATGTTTCCACACCAACATTTCTGTCACAGTGTTCTAGCACACCTCAGTGCAGGCTTGAAGAACAGCATCTCATTTTCCACTTATGGACCATGCAGCCTCTAGGATCCAACACTGAGTTCAATAACTTTACAGCCTGAATCCATCCTTCCATACTTTTAACCCACCCCCACACTCAGTCCCGTTATGACATGGATTGCTTTCAGTACAGTCACCCATTCCCACATAGTCCTAAGGCCATTATCACATTATATGGATTGCATTCAGCACAGCTACCCCATTTTCTCACTGTTAGCTCTTAATATGTCTTATTCAGCCTCTCTATCCTGGCTTGCTATCCATTATCTTCTTGTTTATCTATTATTTTCACATGTCTCTTTCTCTGGGTTCCATCTCCACCAATCCACTCGCCTGTCACCACCCCCCCACACCACCACCCCACATCCAGTTCAGCATCAGCACAACTACTACTTTTTCCTAGCTACTAACAGTCCTGATGAAGAGTCACCAGACTCGAAATGTTAACTCTGTTTTCTCCCCACAAATTCTGCCAGATCTGCTGAGTTTCTCCAGCAATTTCTGTTCTTATCACTTTTATCCATGTTTGGACAAAGGCCATGAAGAGGTCAGGAGCTGAGCAGGCCTGGTAGTGATCAAAGTGATCATCACTGAGCAGAGTATAGCTGAGTAAGTACCAATGGGTAGCACTGTCAATGACACTGACAACGCTTTGCTGATGATCGAGAGGAGACCGATGGGGCAGTATTTGGCCAAGTTGGATTTGTTCTACTTTTTGTGGTTAGGACATACCGGGATAATTTTCCACATTGTGGGGAGCTGCCAGTGTTGTAACTGTACTGGAAGACTTTGGCTAGGAGTGAAGCTAGTTCTAGAGCAATGTCTTTCTTACTTTGGCTGGAATGTTGTCAGGGCCTATCGCCTTTGTAGCATCCAGTATCTTAAGCCTATGTTAATATTAGCTGTGATGCTGGGAACTTTAGGAGGAGGCTACACTGGATCATCCACTCAGCACTTCTGGCTGAAGCTGGATACAAATGCTAAAGTGGGGTCTTTTGTACTGATGTGCTGGGCGCCTCATCATTGAGAATGGGAATATTTGTGGCTGGATGTGGCATGACTGTAGAGCTTGGATCTAATCCCGTTGTCTGTGGAATTGTTTAATTCTATCCATCACTTGCTGCTTCCACTGTTTGACATGCAAGTGGCTTTGTGTTGTAGCTTCATCAGCTTGACACCTCATATTTACATTTGCTTGTTGATGTACCTGGCATTCCTTCCTGCATTCTTCATTGATCCAGGGTCTATCTGATGGTAATGATACAGTAAGGACGTGCAAGAAGTGAGAATTCTCGACATGGGAGTCAAAGCAAGTAATTTCAGCTTGCGAGATAACAAGGTGTAGAGCTGGATGAACACAGCAGGCCAAGCAGCATCAGAGGAGCAGGAAAGCTGACATTTCAGGCCTGCCATTGGCTGTGAAGAGCCTCCATGGGAACTAGCCCTCGTATACAGACATTGGCATGCAACATTTGCAAACCTCTCAGGATCTTCACCTCTCCTATCCACTTGCCGGATGTTTAGGAAGCACAAACACGCATTGCAGAACGCACTGGTAACTAGCAATGAAAGGCTGCAATAAGAACATTTTGCATTCACAGTCACGCACCCAGCTCATAGATTTGACCAGGGTGAATTTCATGGCTGCTCACTCACTTTCTTAACACTTGCTCACTTAGCATCTACTTGCCTGCTCCCAACATCCATGCCTTGCCTTACCATGACATACCATGGTAATTAGAGTGTTGTTGGTTCAGGCAGAGCCAAAGACTTTCGGTGCTGCCATATTGATATGCTCACTTGGGCACACACACACACACAACACACACACACGCACAGACTGGCTGTTTTTGGGAGGTAGCTGCCTGGGGGCAGGGATAACAGGCACAGCATGTGCCAGCTGCCGCTGCCCATGTGGCGAAGACACTGCATGTTTACTCAAACAACTAGCCATGTCAGAAAGTGGGTGGGGTAATCGTCATGGGTCCAGTCGAGGCATCCCGGTACCATCACGGACACAATGTGCACACAGTCCAGAAGCTTGGCCATGGTCAGCCGTCTGCTCAGGCCAGACCTTTTCAAGGGATATATGTGACTACAGTCCAGGAAGTGGGCAATGGTCAGTTCTGTGGGCCCAGCACCTGCAGTCTGGGGAAATTACATATTGTCAGTAGGGGAGCAGCAAACACAGCGGCCAGGGGTATGGTCAGTTGTGACTAGGGCTAGTCATCAACATCGGTCAGATGTCTGGGTTGTATACAGTCCTGGCGATCTGTCCATCGATTGTTGTAGGGATTGCATGATGGGGCCTGTAGGGTCAATGGGGGGAAATCAGTGCCAAAAGGACTGGT